GTGTTGTACTTATTCCATTGGATTCAAACCAAGATGCTGTGAGGAAATATGACCTACTTACTGACCTGTAGGGAAATTGAAAACGGGGAATGCTTTTGGTATTTTGACGCTGGAGCACACACTTATTCCAACAGTTTTTGCCCTTATCTCTGATTAACGCAGTGCCCGTTCAGGGGCGCGGATGTGTAGAGAGCGTGGTCGTAGTTGGAGTGGGCTGATTGCTTTGCTCCCGGAAGTGCTGCTGCCGGGAGCATTGCTCGTCATTGCTTGTTGACTCCAGTGAAGTGAAGAAGAGTTTGGATGTAACGTAATTTAAATCCAGCATCCAGCAGCAAAAGTGAGCTGCGGTCAATGAACCGCGGTTTGCTCACATGCTCGACTCTTGGTCCGCAGTTACCTGAAGCCCCCCCCCCCCCCCCCCCCCCCCCCCCCCCCCCCCCCCCCCCCCCCCCCCCCCCCCCCCCCTCCCCGCGTCCACTGCTGAACAGAGCACTGTTCACTTCCCGCCAAGTGTGAAGTGGATCGGATGGACGGTTCTTGAGATGTGCAAAGGACATACCCAGAGATTCCTTATAGTTAAATGATGGTATCTTCAGGAAAGTGTGTGTGTGTGTGTGTGTGTGTGTGTGTGTGTGTGTGCCCCCCAGCATGCCAGTGCATTTGCCCTTGCTAAGTCGTGCCAGTGCGCATATCTGTGCGCTCCTGTTTGTGTTTTTAATTAACCGTCAATGTGTTCATCCAGAGCAGAATTCACAAATTCAATTACTGAGCGTGGAGCTCAAGGAGACAGCTGGTGATCACTGCATGTAGCTGAAGGCCTGCAGAGCACACGGTACCTATTATACTACAGCAGTCGGATCAGTAACTATGAAATGGCTGTACTTGTCAGTTGTTCGTTCAACAGTGCTGAATATTTTACAGTGTTCAACGTCTCCGGGCAATGGTATTATAACTTTAATGTGAATACACTCGAGGCCCAGTGCAGCAAAATGTCCTCAAATCGCTCTGTGCCTTTTTCATTGCAATGCATCGATTCCTTTAGCGCGTGTCCAAACTGTGGGGCTTTTGTATGAACATAATGGATTCAGTGCACTTGCTGCAACAGCCCGGATGTGAAAGTGTTGCCAGGCATCAGTTTAATAAAGATGCAAACGTCATCCGTGCACCACCATGGCCTCAGCCCTCCCTAATCTTGTTTTGTGCTCCTTTTTTAAATTAGATCATCTAGACACACACTCTCACACTAACACACACTCCACACAGATGACAAATGAAGCATATAGAAAAATAAAAGTTCAAATTGCCCATGTGCAGGCCCCCTCCCAGTATTTTCCTCAACATGTTAAAATCCAATTAGCCTCCCTCTGCTTGCGCCTGTCACTCTTATCAGCCGTCCCTCTGTAGACTCACACAGGATTTATTAAAAATTTAAGCACTCCTCTTTTAGGAGGATGATATATTGGAAACCCTGCAGCATCAACATGAAGCCCTTTTTAATAATTCACGTGTGTAGCCTGCTGAAGACACGACATGTACTGTAGCACTTCAGCATTGTAGTGATGGGACATTTTAAAAAGACGTAACCATGGAATACAATGTTTTGACCAAGAGTTGCTGTATCACAGCTTGGGCTGACCCAAACTGGACTGAAGGATTGATATTGGAGTTGATCAAGGTGAGGCACATTTCATATTTTAAATGATGGGTCTCCGATCTCTCAAAGAACTACACAAAACCTTCTAATTTCTTGGTGATAACCACTGATTTTGTTGCCAGCAGATTTTATCAGCTGCAGCTAGCTGCTAGCTGGCGCTAGCGCTAACTCCAGGAGTTGATTGCAAACAGCGTCACCAGCTGACTTTTGGATGTTTCCAGTTGACTTGTTTTAAAACAATTACCGGTAGCACTTTATAGTAACTACACACTATGAAGCATTAGTTAAGTATGAGTAAACACTTAATTCATCATTTATAAAGCATTGTTCCTATATTAATAATTCATTAGTATGCAGTTCATAACAACAGTTATAAATGTTTTATTCTTGATTAATAAGCTGGTCTATTATGTGTTTCATTATTGTGTTTTCATACTTTATAAATGATGGATTCCCCATTTGTAAATGAAGTATTATATATTTTACAAACCAATTATTAAGGAGTTGTAGATG